TGTTAAAACATGATATTACTGGAACAATCTGGACATACACAAAATTTAAGAATGTTCTAGATAAAATGACCAAACATGTTGACCACTCTGGAATGTTCAAGAAACTTAATGTTACTAATTATATACATAATGAAACAACACCTCTCACAACAAGTTATACTGAGCAAAAATACCTCTTTCAAAATTGTGAAAAGGGATGTTTTGGTGTTATGGCGGGGCTCTATTGATTATATAGTGAAAAAACATTAATTCTTCAAAGATCTTCTTCTCTGCTCTTGGGTATAAACTAAACAAGGGCATAAACTATGTAATAGTTATGACGAGGAAAGATGTCTCTTCCAAATTTATGAATTTCAGGGCCCCTGGTTTAGGGCTTCTAGTGTTAAGGCAGGGTTCTAATGATTATATAGTGAAAAACCATGAATTTTTTGAAAATCCTTTCCCATGATCCTGGGTATTATGCCAATGTTCTAAGTACATATTGATGATAAAGAAAGATGTCACTTCAAAAATGGTTAATTTCAGGACCCTGGGTCAAGGACACTGTGGATACATAGTCTGAAAATAAATTGATGCTTTAAAATCTGAAGTTTAGTATTAATCAACCATTTATGATGAAATTAACTTTATGATAATTTTTTTTAAATAAGTGGCCCCAGGGTCAGTAGTTCCTGTGGGATTGGGTGCACAACTCGTTATAAAGTGGAAATGAATTCCCTCTTTGTTTTTCTGATCTACCTCTGAGTATTGAATAACCGAAGTAAACATGCTAAGTGTATCGTTATGATAAGCAATGGTCTCTCTTTCAAAATTGTGAATTTCATGGCCTCTGGTTTAAGACACAAACCAACTTCAAGTGTTGGAAAGTTGTTACATGATACCCAGGTGACCTATAAGGCCCATTGACCTCTTGTCACCGTCCTATTACACATATTAAATCATTTAATCGCCGGAAAAATTACATCCTAAACGCTACAACATATTTGCATTGTAAATTTGGTGTGTTTTAAAATACCATCTTCAAACCACGGCAATTCTTTAAAAAAAGATAAGCTTTCTTAAATTCTGAAAAATCTCATCATGAAAAAAAATTATGTAATATTTACTTCACTATTTTAAGAAAATGTTTAAACATTTTAAAATGTGTAGCAATTAATATGTTAAATGTATTATTCATGGCAGATCAGTGAAAAAGCAAAATGTTAACGCACAACTAGGTAAGGGGATTCTGTGGGAGAGTATGAATCGACTATTCAAATTTAGAAATATCAATGAAGTTTTATTAATTTACAATCAAATAAATTAGTCTCTGTTCATATAGGTTTTTATAAGCATAGTTCACTTGCTCTCTGAGCTGTTACACAACTAAATTGCAAACAAATGTGACAAAATTTATATACTATCTAATACGATATTTTAATCTTAATGGTTGTTTAATACTTAGTGTTAAGATGTAGCATTATGCTTATTTCCATTAACACCAAAGTTATACTTCTTTATACAATGATTCATAAATGCACTTAGATTAAATATACTCTTTAGCAAGGAAAATATCCTAGGCAATTTCGTTTCATATCGTTTCTTTATTTTCCCCAACTGTCATACTGGTTTTGACATCTGCAAAAAAGGACATCTCAGTTATTCACTTTATAATTGTTTACGGCTAGTGTGAATTTGAACATATTAACATACTCATAGTGCAAAATTAAAGAATTCACATACCATTCAAATTCATTATTCTGTATTGTATAATATTTCATCTTTTCTTATTGAATATTTTTCATACACATGTGACACTTAATTCGAGGAAATGTGTTTAAAACTCAAAATAAATTAAAAACTTTACTTACAAATGTACAAAGGTACAGAGAATTTTCAAATTGATGCCTTAATGATTTGGTTCAAGAGAAAGAGTGTCCTTCTTTGAATACGTCCAATAAGCCATTTTTTTTCTTTTTCCCCTCGAATAGGTTTCATATGGAAACCCTCCTCTCCTCTGCTAATGGTGTTGAGTTCACATTAACGACGAGGATGTAAAGAATATTTAAAGCAATGTCAAGCAACAAATTCTGAATCCGGCATTTTCCTTGTCATCTAAAAGAAGTATATCTATCATATTGATAAAAATATATTCATTATATATTGACAAAACTAAAAAGATATGACATCTCTTTACTAGTAGTCAAACTGGTATAAATGTCTAATATACTATCTTTTTTTCAAAAACAAGCATGAATGGCATTATAAAGGAAAGGTACTCTAAATACACTTGCCTTTATCTTTTCAATTCATTATCCATCAAACACTTTCAATATAATTTCAGTTTTATTAGAATAATATCAAAGGTTTAAATTGATCCCTCAGCAACAAACCAGTCATTAGATCCAATACCTTTAGTCAGATGCACCTGATAACTGAAAAACAGTAGTACAGAGAATAAAGATTTTTTTCTGAATTGATAAACGGATATAATGATGTTTTCTTCATAAAGTACACACCTGTTTATCAGATTTTCTATAGGAGTATATTTTTTGATTTTCTCCAAAATGCAGTTTTTATCTAGTATCTAGCAGAACAAACACGGACCTCTAAAACATCAGAGGTGGGATCAGGTTACAGGTGGAGTAAGAATCCACTAACGACTGGTAATTTATGAAATAGTTATAAAAGTAATTCATGTTCAAATTCTGTAAAGAAATTTAAAGTCTTCTCGGACTCTGAAAACATAAAATTCAATTCCGTATTTTGTTTGCGTCTATGGCTTTCGTATATTTAGCAAACACTCATAAAATGTTTTTGCTTTTTGATAGGTGGAAAGGGTAAAAATTAAATGCTTTAGAGAATTGTATTACTAATATATAATTGATATATGGGATACATACCTATTCTCTAATAACACATTTCATTTCAAAGAGAAAGAATTGTTTCTATTTTGTACAAACATACATCAACTTAATGTAAAATAAATCGTTAAATAATTAATAAATGACAGAAGTGTTTATTCATTGATCTGACAATCTAACATATACGTGCCACAGTAGGGTGTGGGTGTTTCATCTCCTATCTAATAAAATGTGGTAACAAATATATGCAATTTTTAGTTAGTCTAAGTTAACTTTTTCAATGTTAATTACGAAAACATGTTATTCTATTGTATTTATTTTTTCCCCAATATAAGTTAAATTTGTTATTAAATGAAACAATCAAATGATAGAAATGTCCTGCCATCTCCTCAGTGGAATATGTGGAGATAACGAACAGTATTCAAGCTCAAAAGTCCATTAAACAATTAGGTACAAAGCAAACAGGGACCTCTTAAACATCAGAGGTGAGATCAGGAGCAGTGGAGGAGTGGGCATCCCCTGTCGACCGGTCACACCCGCCGTGTGCTCCCTGTCATGACCGTGAAATAAAGGGAAAATCCGACAAATAGTGTGTAAATAATGACCTATACCAATAAGTATGAAAAAATATATTTAAAATTAGTATTTTACTTAATGATAGATTGTATTTGCTGGAAGGTCATAGTATCTACCATAGGATTTACGAAATTAAGACTTTAACCAAAATTTCTGATATTCTTGTTTCGCCATCATGTTTATCAACTTAACTCTTTTTTGAAATTGTTCATAAGTAGATCATGCTCTTGCATATCTGTATCGAATCAACATTTCGTATGCAGATGATGAAGGTAAATTACTGCATAAGTAAGGGATGTTGACGATTCACATATTTACGTTTATCGTACAGCTTTGTTGTAAGATTACCATTAATGTAATAAAATACCACACATCATCCTGTCCTTAATGCCTAGGTCAAATTTCCCGGCCAGTGGCCGTAGACCGGTTGTAATCGGCGGTAATCCGTGGTGTGAGCGATGCCTAAACATCGGTCCACATCGGCCTAGTAGTCCTTTTAAAAGTATCAGTCACATGATCCAGCGATGGGCTATACGATGGGCAACCAATGCGATTTTTAATAAAAATGGCGTGGTTGCCGGTCGGACTTACAAGGGCCTAGCGATGCATTGCTAATCTAAAACAATGTTCAAGGATAATCGGACGATGTATATTACACTGCTCATACATTGGTGAACATCGTTCGTACATCGGTCGATTACGGTCCAATGTTTGATCGAACATCGACCAATGATTGGCTGTTGTCTGTTGCCCACCACTCAATCCCCCCGATGACCTCAGATTCAACGGATATTGGACGATGCTCGGCAATACATCGGCGGTTCCCTGAAAGATGTGTTAATGATGGGTTGCCGATGAGGAGCGATGTGAGACATCGTTAGAGACATTGCTGAATTTTAACTACGAATTCTTTCCTACCGATGACCCCAACGATTCGCAAAATTGCCTCAGACACCGTCCGATCACTGGTGGCGTCCGGCCGGCAACCACGCCATTTTCATCAAAAAACGCATCGGTTTCTCATCGTATACCCCATCGCTGGATAATGTGACTGATACTTAAGAAACACAACGATATACATTAGAAGAACCTATTTTTCATTCCAACAAAAGAATGCCTAAAATCTTTAAGGAACCTCTATTGGCTGCCGACAAGGCACCCAAGGAACTTAAAATATTTGGTAGTAAGAACCATGCAGATTGGACAGCCCCTTGTTGTCTTTCAAGCACAGTTCTGATACAGACAGATTAAACAGCCCTGTAACAGGCCGCCGCTACAGAATGAAAGAAACATGCCTTGTCAAACATATAACAGCATTTGTCTCTTCAGTGGCAAGGTATTTCAAAAGAAAAATGAGAGATCTCAGCTGAAGAATGAATCAATAAGCACTTTTTGACCATGCAAGACCAAAAAACTCAATGAACCCATTTTGACCTTGAAGGTCACAAATGGGAGTACACCACTGTCGGGAGTACACGACAGTGGTGGTTATTGAGCATAACCCGAGACAGACAGATGCTCGAAGAAAAAGCAAAGAATGAGAGGAAATATTAAAAGTTACTGTAAAACAAAAACACAAAGAGAAATAAGAAGTTAATTTATTAGACTTTAGACATTGAAGCCTCTTGCAGAAATTCCTGATTTCTTCATTTACCCCAACTGTCGTACTGGTTTTGGCATCTGAAAAAATGATGATCAGATGATTTCTATTATGCATTACAAAGTGTGTTGTCTTATAAATCAAAATTAAAATACAAGTATAAAAGACAAAAGGTTAAAAAAAAAAAAGAAATATATAGACAGAGATATACTCACAAATCCTTGATAATCGTACAAAGAATTTTCAGATTGGTGATATTTAAGTTTACAGAAGGGGTCTTTCCCTGGAGATCAAGCTTAATGCCAAGAGCCGATTCCAACACACTTTTCCCCACCTCAGCCTGTGATGAATTTGTGGAATTTGTTGTTGTCTCCACTTGGACTGTTTTGTTGCTGTTTGTTCCTAGTATTGGTGTCACAATTCCATAGACATTATTCATTACAATGTACAATGCAAATAATGCAATAAATTTGGAATTCATCATCCTCTTGTTTCTGATCTCGATAGAACTGAAATATATATTATTCTGTTTTTTAAAACATAGATTGTGAAGGAACATAATACGGAAAAATTCTTAAATAAGCTTTTGAGCTAGGATTTTTAAAAATGTATATATCAAATGAATTGAAAAAAATCAATATTCCTGGCTTAATGGAATGTTCAAAACTTTTACTTGTTTCGTACAATCTTGAGGCCTGTACTCATTCATTTAATTTATTAAATTGATTGTATGTTGATTTACATCACATTATATATATTTTTTTTCAATCATATAGAGATATCATTATTTAAAGGTAGCAGTATGCATCCATTCAAGTACTAAATAATCCGAGTTCATCGTTTAAGTAACGTTAAACTCCTAGACTTTGGAAGATTTTCGTAGAATTAAGGTGATATTAACACTATTGTAAATCTTTAAAAATGCTTCATGACATTTGGGTGAGAAAATGGATTTTCTTTTTAAAAAAACTGCTGGATTCTAAAAGAAATCACAGTAAACCAAAATTAGTGCCAAGGAAAGATAAAACAGCTCTTTAGAATATTTTGGTCTATGTAAGTTCTTGAAATATTTTGATATTGTTATCTGTTTAATCGAATGAATATTATATATACCAAAGTGCAAAAATACTGTAAAATACATTTTTCACTTGAAATTTTTTTTTAAATAAATAAATTAAAAGTCCTGAAAAACGCATTTCACGATTACATTTCCGTGAAAAAGGTGAAAATAACGAAGAGTGATCAAACTAAAAAAATACAGACAATACAAATCTGTGAACAGGGCGTACAATCATGTAAAACACTCCATCTGGAAAGTACAGAGGTGGTATCAGGTGGAGTAAGCATCTCTATGACTGGTCATTCTAGCGAAAAACCTCATGTATTGATCAGAGAGACGAATGATATATTGTCCAACAATGAAGTCAGTCATAGGATATAATACCGCATATTTGAGTTCATCTCACAATATGCGCCGTTATCAAAGCTCTATCCTATTATTCTATGTCATCATTCACCTCCTTTTTGTGGAAAAAACTAATATATGTGATAAGCCGGAATTTATTTATCCATCCATACAGCGTCGGTACTTAGTCACTAGATTTACGGGTTATCTCCCCTTTTCTATGCATCAATGAAAGCGAAAGGTGGGTGATGAAAGTATCCGATTTATGTTTTTGTATATTGTGAAATATTTTATAATAATTTCCAGTTTTTAAAGTTAAGTTTCAGTCAAAGATGTAAAACAGATTATCTTATTAACATTGACATTGCTCGATGGCAAGTATTTTATTGGATTGAAACAGATCGATTTGCCACCCGTCCATGCTTTAAACACTGGCACATGGTACAAGATTACAATGTGAACTTCATCAGCAGATTTTGAATGAATAAAAACTTACTTAGTCAAATAATATATAAACAAAATGAGCTAATGTAAAAATAGGTATGAATTTCAACTTTATTCGGTCCATGTTATTCAAGGTCATTTGCCAATAAACATCCGTACACATGGTGGCCTATATTTAGTTACTTAGATCCCATAGCCTATCTTTAGGGGATTAAAAAATGGGAATATCCATAATTATAATTCTTACAGTATGCGTATGCTTTTGAAACTTTGGGTTTGGTGCATTTATCAGTTTATTTAAAATATTGAGTGATTTTTAAAAATAAATAAATAAATAAATGTTCAAGGATAGGGTTACCCTAGCTGTGCCATACCAGTCTACTTTTGTCCTAAAAACAGTGAATAAATAAAAAAAAAATACAGATTGAGAAGTAATAAATGTTTGACAAATCTTCAGAAATGTTATTTAGCTAGATTCACAAAGGGACAGAACTCTAATTAAAGTATATAAATTTCAATCAAGGCCATTCAACTTTAACAAGGCTCCAAAGAGAGGCATGAAAGATATGCAATTGCAACAAAGGCAGTAATCATTTGTGAAATAAAATAGTTTGAAGTAAAATAAATAAGTTTTGGTGCTTTTGAATGTAGCATTACAATAATGCATTTTATGATATGAATGAAACATCAAGTAAGATGTGTATTTGTTTATACATATTTACAGTTGTACACATGCTATATGACAAAACTCAAGGTAAGTAAATATGAATGATGACTAAAAAAGTAAATAGATTTTGAGTCAAAAAATTCAGTTGGATGGAAGCATTTCAATCAACAATTCAGGCTGTAAAATCTGGGAGGCATACCCGGCATACTAGGTAACATGCACCAGAGTTGAATTGTACATTGTCTGTCAAATCCACATAATAATATATTAGGACCAGCAGCATCCTCACCTATTCGGATATCACTTCTCTTAAGGGGCTTGATAGGGAGGACAACTTCAGATTCAACAAGAACAATAACAATGTGGGCATAGTAATTTAGGACCTCAATGTTTCATTAGTAACAGTTGATATAAATAGGATTCCCCAAATTTTATTTTAATTAACTACATGTAATATAAAGCAAGGCTAGCTACTATTTTGCTGGTTAATATATATCAAAGGGTTCAGATTAAGTAAGATGGAGCAAAGGGCATGTTTCGCATATGATTGCCACCACGACAAAAGGTCCTTATGGCATTTTTTCTAGAACAGAGAAATAACGTCATAAAGATATGACGTTGAAGACGGTGAGCGTCGTCGCAGATTTTTTTATACACGTGTTTTACGCTTTCACACGTCTATCTTTTTGTGCTTCGACTTGACCACTGTATATAATACTGATTTAATTTTTTTTTTCTAAAATACTTAATTTTTATGTAGGATCCTCTAGTGCACTGGTATTTATTTAAATGTAGACCTATTTAGAATTTGAGACCCGTTTCGCTCATCTAGCTAAATATCGCTGTATAGGTATATATATAAATGTATCTGATCCTAGGTAATGTTTCCTATGCATGTACGTACATCGGCAATTATTTATAGACAAAGTAATTTTCTAAATAATTGAATATGGGTGAACAAAAACAAATTTTTATTTACTGGTATAGACAAAACTGAAATAATGGGTATGGCACGGGTATTTTATCAAAATATTGGAAAGGAAATCGTTTCCGTATATGAGATCCGCCCCAGCATTCAGCATTTACATCAATCATGTAAACATTGAATCATCGGTGCATGATCTTCCATATTTTGGTTGTAAAATGCTTTAATGCTGAAAGAATTTGAAACCTAAACACACTTCCTCCAACAGAGAAGAAAGGTATCCTTATAAGTTTCCCGAATCTAGCAAAATAATGGACAAATGACAGAGGCGAAATTTTGTAAATAAAAACAGGAGCGGTAACTCTGACAATCGATCGGAATACAAAAGGGGTACCAGAGAGGGTCAATGATATAATTTTTTTATATTTCAACTAACACTCTTCATAGAAATTTGCTCCTGTAGTATAAAAATGTTTTATAAACATGTTATTTCTAGCAGTTCAAACGTTTTACCATGTATTTGAAAAAAAAAATTAATTTATAAAGGTGTGTTTATATCTACGGAAACTAGATATTTTAAAACATTATAGAACAAAAAATAGATGAAACCTTGAATCAAATTTTAAATTTACAAAATATGTTTCATTCATGCGTATCTACTTATTTTGACATGAAATTATTTGAATTTAGTTTAACTATTTTTTTTCAATAATGATGCCCATATGAATTAGATGAAAACAGTTGGAAAATTTTTAACCTAATTTTGTTGTTGTTTTTTCCGATTAATATTCCAGTGTTAACAAGCAAAAACTACATTTGGAAATAAAAATGTTCTTAACTAAAGATAGATCATTCTTACATTCATGTAGTATTTTGATAAGAGAGAGAGAGAGAGAGAGAGAGAGAGAGAGAGAGGTCTTATAATCCAGTTTATAGATATAGAAATGAAACTTCAATGAAAAATCGAATTTCCAAAGCAACAGGATATCGTAAAATAAAAAAGAAATCTCTATTGGTTTAATTATATCTATTTATTTTAAGGAACGTTAAAAACTTTTTAAAAAAGTTTTAGCTTCATCTGCAGATTTAAGTGGATCACTCACGTGTATGTCAAAACATTTGATCCCTGTCATTCATAGTATATAAGCAATATACATCATATGTCATTACAGTTGTTTACCAATTAATATATAACTCGTTTTATTTTTGAATTTAAAAAAGACGTATCAGTTATGGGTTTGGTATAATATAATTGCCCAAATTGCTGTTTAAAAAAAATGTAAGCGAAATGATTTTATTTTGGGAATTTATAGGTAAAAGAAATTCCGGTGATAAACATTACATTAGAAAAAAAAATAACGATGGCAAGTGTAAAGCAGCGAGAAGGTTAGAATTCTACACACAGCATGTCACGCAACAATATTTTACATGTACCACCTCGTAAAAAAATTTCCAACCCAGAATTTCTTCACAAGCAAAAATAAACAGATAAAGGAATAAATAAGATAAAAAAAAATAAACTCATTTCCCAAACGAAAAAAACCTATTAAGTGTGTGTTAGGGAGGGTGTGTGCGTGTGTGTGGAGGAGGGGTGCGTGGGTGGGGGTTAGTCGTTGGCTTTTTTACAGGCCTGTGACTTTTAATACCAATTTCACATAGATCCGTGCTTTCGAGGAGAGGTACGCCTAATCTAATTGGGGATTTTTATTTGGTTTAGTATTAAAAAAAATAATTCTGCACAATCCATGCGCAGACACCCACCCCCTACCCCTCTAGATTCACGCATAGATTGTACATGTATGCATATCAGAATTCCAATTTAATTTTAGACCCCTCCCGCAAAAATTCTTTCAGATAATCTATATGATCCAGAACAACAAGGAATTTATAATTATTATACCCCGGCTTGAAAAGTTAGAGGGTATATAGTGATCGCAGGATGTCCATCTGTTTTTTTTTTACACTCTGGAGTACCCATCTTATATCCGCAACTCCTCCTATGCCTATTGAAACTTCACAGATTCTTTCTTCCATAGTGTCATTGTGCACCTCCTTTTTTACTTTTTCA